CTGGGGGGCTGCGATCTGTGAAACTGTCGCCACTTTCGAGGCCTGCTGGGGGCCCAGCACAGTGGGTACTCACGGCGGATTCAAATTAGACCTCGCCATCCCTGGGGGGCTGCGATCTGTGAAACTGTCGCCACTTTCGAGGCCTGCTGGGGGGCCCAGCACAGTGGGTACTCACCGCAGACTCAAATGGGACCTCGCCATCCCTGGGGGGCTGCGATCTGTGAAACTGTCGCCACTTTCGAGGGCTGCTGAGGGGCCCAGCACAGTGGGTACTCACCGCAGACTCAAATGGACCTCGCCATCCCTGGGGGGCTGCGATCTGTGAAACTGTCGCCACTTTCGAGGGCTGCTGAGGGGCCCAGCACAGTGGGTACTCACCGCAGACTCAAATTAGACCTCGCCATCCCTGGGGGGCTGCGATCTGTGAAACTGTCGCCACTTTCGAGGCCTGCTGGGGGGCCCAGCACAGTGGGTACCCACCGCAGACTCAAATTAGACCTCGCCATCCCTGGGGGGCTGCGATCTGTGAAACTGTCGCCACTTTCGAGGGCTGCTGAGGGGCCCAGCACAGTGGGCTTCCCGCACGTCTTTCTCCTGCTCTTCGTTCCCGACTCCCCATGTCCTCTTCGAGCCTGTAGTTGTCGCCCCTCGTTCTTGTATGGTTCTCCTGCGCATCATGCCATTGGCGCGTGTCCCAAGTAGCTTACATATCAAACAACGGATCCTGCAATTTGATTGTCTGTGCAAGTTTCGGCCAACTCCTCGTGTCCCATGATACAAATGGGTTGGGTACGTCACAGGGTAATTCCAAAAGAACTCCCCCTGGGGGTTCGGCCCGTCCCGCCGGGGTCCCGGGAGGAACAAGAGGCGACGATTTTCTCCATCGGGCTCGACTGGGGGATTACCCTGTGACGTACCCAACCCATTTGTGTCAATGGAATCGAGGAGTTGGCCGAAACTTGCATGGACAATCAACTTGATGTGCAAGCTACTTGGGACACGCGCCCATAGCATGATGCGCAGGAGAACCATACAAGAACCAGGGGCGACAGCTACAGGCTCGAAAGGGACATGGGAAGTCGGGAACGCAGAGCAGGAGAAAAACGTGCGGGAAGCCGAACCATCAGCACGTCAGCAGCAGAGGGAAGGTGACTGCAGGAGAAGAACAAGGACGAAAGCGGCGTCTAATTTGAGTCTGCGGTGGGTACCCACTGTGCTGGCCCGCTCAGCAGCCCTCGAAAGTGGCGACAGTTTCACAGATCGCAGCCCCCCAGGGATGGCGAGGTCGAATTTGAGTCTGCGGTGGGTACCCACTGTGCTGTGCCCCTCAGCAGCCCTCGAAAGTGGCGACAGTTTCACAGATCGCAGCCCCCCAGGGATGGCGAGGTCTACTTTGAGTCTGCGGTGGGTACCCACTGCGCTGTGCCCCTCAGCAGCCCTCGAAAGTGGCGACAGTTTCACAGATCGCAGCCCCCCAGGGATGGCGACGTCTAATTTGAGTCTGTGGTGGGTACCCACTGTGCTGGGCCCCTCACAGTCCTCGGAAGTGGCGACAGCTTCACAGATCGCAGCCCCCCAGGGATGGCGAGGTCTAATTTGAGTCTGCGGTGGGTACCCACTGTGCTGGGCCCCTCAGCAGCCCTCGAAAGTGGCGACAGTTTCACAGATCGCAGCCCCCCAGGGACGGCGATGTCTAATTTGAGTCTGCGGTGGGTACCCACAGTGCTGGGCCCCTCAGCAGCCCTCGAAAGTGGCGACAGTTTCACAGATCGCAGCCCCCCAGGGATGGCGAGGTCTAATTTGAGTCTGCGGTGGGTACCCACTGTGCTGGGCCCCATCAGCAGCCCTCGAAAGTGGCGACAGTTTCACAGATCGCAGCCCCCAGGGATGGCGAAGTCTAATTTGAGTCTGCGGTGGGTACCCACTGTGCTGGGCCCCTCAGCAGCCCTCGAAAGTGGCGACAGTTTCACAGATCGCAGCCCCCCAGGGATGGCGAGGTCTAATTTGAGTCTGCGGTGGCCCACTGTGCTGGGCCCCTCAGCAGCCCTCGAAAGTGGCGACAGTTTCACAGATCGCAGCCCCCCAGGGATGGCGAGGTCTAATTTGAGTCTGCGGTGGGTACCCACTGTGCTGGGCCCCTCAGCAGCCCTCGAAAGTGGCGACAGTTTCACAGATCGCAGCCCCCCAGGGATGGCGAGGTCTAATTTGAGTCTGCGGTGTGTACCCACTGTGCTGGGCCCCTCAGCAGCCCTCGAAAGTGGCGACAGTTTCACAGATCGCAGCCCCCCAGGGATGGCGAGGTCTAATTTGAATCTGCGGTGGGTACCCACTGTGCTGGGCCCCTCAGCAGCCCTTGAAAGTGGCGACAGTTTCACAGATCGCAGCCCCCCAGGGATGGCGAGGTAGGGGGAAAGAGAGGGACGGGAGGGAAGGAAGGAGACGCGCGAGCAGTGCTCTATTCAAAACGAGAACCCAACGCAGGAGGGTTGGGAAAAAGAAGAAGAAGCGAAAGAAGAAGAAGAAGAAGGAGAAGAAGAAACAGATTTGAGTAGGGACCGACCGCCCCAGCATCCCTATAGGCCTACCACGGCATGACCCTGGAACCCAAACGTGTTCTGAGAACAGAAACAATGTTCTTAGACCATGAGGCCGATGTGTTAAAATTATGCTAACGGACTTCCCCACATTAAGATATTAACGGTCTCGTGGGACCCATGGGGTACGACAACATCAACACGAAGGAGAAGCTGGAGAGGTGGGGCCTCCCTGGGGAGATGGGAAGGGCACGAAACCATGTAAATACTATGGGTTTCCGATACCCTCCTCGCTCAGGAGGGGCCTCCCTGGAGAGGTGGGAGGAGCACGAAACCATGTAAATAGTTTGGGTTTCCGATACCCTCCTCGCTCAGGCGGGGCCTCCCTGGAGAGGTGGGAGGGGCACGAAACCATGTAAATCGTATGGGTTTGTTGTGGGATGGGGCCGAGCTTTGCCACCCGAGACCTGCAGGGGAAGGATGGGGCGTGAAAGACCGCCCCTCCACTTCGTCGGCAGGAAGGCTCAGCGCGGCGTGCCCCCGCCGCGGGCAGCTACGCTGAGCCGCAGCGGCCGGGGGTCGCGCGCCGACGTAGCCCGCGCCGGCGCGGAGACCCGCGACCGCTGCAGGAGCGCGAAATGAAAAATGAAAACTGAAATGGGAGGGGCACGAAACCATGTAAATAGTATGTGTTTCCGATACCCTCCTCGCTCAGACGGGGCATCCCTGGAGGGGTGGGAAGGGCACGAAACCATGTAAATTGTATGGGTTTCCGATACCCTCCTCGCTCAGACGGGGCCTCCCTGGAGGGGTGGGAGGGGCACGAAACCATGTAAATACTATGGGTTTCCGATGCCCTCCTCGCTCAGGCAGGGCCTCCCCGAAGGGGGGAGGGGCACGAAACCATGTAAATAGTATGGGTTTCCGATACCCTCCTCGCTCAGGCGGGGCCTCCCTGGAGAGGTGGGAGGGGCACGAAACCATATAAATAGTATGGGTTTCCGATACCCTCTTCGCGCAGGCGGGGCCTCCATGGAGGGGCGGGAGGGGCAGGAAACCTTGTGCATAGTATTGGGTTCCGATACCCTCCTCGCTCAGGCGGGGCCTCCCTGGAGGGATGGGAAGGGCACGAAACCATGTAAATTGTATGGGTTTCCGATACCCTCCTCGCTCAGGTGGGGCCTCACTGGAGGGGTGGGAGAGGCACGAAAGCATGTAAATAGCATGGGTTTCCGACACCCTCCTCGCTGAGCCGGGGCCCCCATGAGGGGGTGGAAGGGGCACGAAACCATGTAAATAGTACAGGTTTCCGATACCCTCCTCGCTCAGGCGGGGCCTCCCTGGAGGGGTGGGAGGGGCACGAAACTGTATAAATAGTACGGGTTTCTGATACCCTCCTCGCTCAGGCGGGGCCTCCCTGGAGGGGTGGGAGGGGCACGAAACCATATAAATAGTATGGGTTTCCGATACCCTCCTCGCTCAGCCGGGGCCTCCCTGGAGGGGTGGGAGGAGCACAAAACCATGTGAATAGTATGGGTTTCCGATACCCTCCTCGCTCAGGCGGGGCCTCCCTGGAGGGGTGGGAGGGGCACGAAACCATGTAAACAGTATGGTTTTCCGATACCCTCATCGCTCAGGCGGGGCCTCCCTGGAGAGGTGGGAAGGGCACGAAACAATGTAAATTGTATAGTTTTCCGATACCCTCCTCGCTCAGGCGGGGCCTCCCTGGAGAGGTGGGAAGGGCACGAAACCATGTAAATAGTATAGGTTTCCGATACCCTCCTCGCTCAGGCGAGGCCTCCCTGGAGAGGTGGGAAGGGCAGGAAACCTTGTGCATAGTATTGGGTTTCCGATACCCTCCTCGCTCAGGCGGGGCCTCCCTGGAGGGGTGGAGGGGTGGGAGGGTCACGAAACCATGTAAATAGTATGGTTTTCCGATACCCTCCGCGCTCAGGCGGGGCCTCCCTGGAGAGGTGGGAAGGGCACGAAACCATGTAAATTGTATGGGTTTCCGATACCCTCCTCGCTCAGGCGGGGCCTCCCTGGAGAGGTGGGAGGGGCACGAAACCATGTAAACAGTATGGTTTTCCGATACCCTCCTCGCTCAGGAGGGGCCTCCCTGGAGAGGTGGGAAGGGCACGAACCATGTGAATAGTATGGTTTTCCGATACCCTCCTCGCTCAGGCGGGGCCTCCCTGGAGGGGTGGAAGTGGTATTGATATGGGAGGCGGGAGGCGGGAGGGAGAAGAAGAGGATGTTCTGGGAAAACAAGAACCCCACTCAGGATGTGGGAACAAGACAACCCAAGACAGAAATGTTCTAAGAACATTCCGTGCAAACGACAAAAGGTTCTTAGAACATTATGTTTTGGGGGGACCACTCTCTTCGGGGGCCTCTGAAGATTTTGCATAGATTATTGATCCAAAAAGCCAGCCTCCCCACAAACCCCTCGCCGAATCAGGACACCTAGCTAACCGTGCACCTACGAGAGCGGTCTAGGCGTTGGTGGCTGCCCTGCATGACGTCATCGTACACCAAATCCTCTTGCTCAAGAGGTACAAAATCAACCAGATTCGGCTCTGCAAATCCTCCTTCAAATCCAAATTCATACGTGAGGGGGTCGTCCAGATCATCAAGCCTGACGATGAAGATGATCGCCACGGAGTTCGTCACAAAGTCGATATCGCTGGAGATGCGCATCAGCTGCAAAGGCAGGAAGAACAAAAGCGCGTACTGAAATGTGAAATTCGCCAAGTAAGACAGCACAAAGCGCAGAAAACTGCGATTCTCATCGATATTCTCTTGCGCACACATGAGCGAAGTCCGGTTCGTCTTGAACACAATCTTCCAGAAGCGAACTTCATGCCAAAAGCTCTTGCCCATCTGATCTCTAGCCATGACTTGGATGAGGCATCCCAAGCCCCAGTACAAATACCTGTTCTGGCTAGGCTGTAGATCATGGGAAACTGCCTTCCAAACGAAATACATGAGGACGCTCTGAATTATGAAAATCAGCATGTAGGTGTTCCTCGCAAAATCCTGATAACAGTTGAAGATGTCAATGGCGACCGTTCCCTCATAAACGTCATTATCGACCCCACAAGTATTGTAAGCGTGGATAAGAAAACCAAGCACAGGCACAAACATCACTGCGATGAAAGCCAACGTCGTCAGGAATGCGTTCACCTCTGCCGACGAGCAGCAGAAAGTGCAGAAGAAACATGACGACTACTTTGAGCAACTCGAAGGCCCATTGCTGGTAGCCCCGTGCGCGGTCAAGGTAGATGGACGCGAATGTGAGAAGTAAGACGCCGAAGGAGAGTAAGGACAAGACCAGCCAGAAAATCTCTGGGTGTTCATCCTGGAGCGACACCATACTGAAACAACCGAGGACAAACCTTGAGGCGAATGCCTCCCTGATGGTATTCTCCCGTGCTCTAGCACAGTACACTGGAAGCGACTGCCTCCCTGATTGAACTCTCCGGTGCTCCGGCAAAGTTAAAGCCTCGAGCCAAACTTGAGCCAAAATGGCTACGGGGTTCTTGGAACATTCTCTGGTGGGCATGCAGGCAAGCCAGGACGTGCTCGCCACTGCTCCCTCCCTGCCCCACAGGGTGGAAGGTTGGGGCCCAGGTGGTTTTGGACCGCCTGGCAGGGCAGGGTACAGTAGGAGCTCGACCACAAGAAACCTTCCACAAGAAACCAAACCCTGGAACCCCAGGACGTCCATAGATTTTTGGTGTGGGAACGTCACGCTTTCCATGGCAAAACCATCGAGACCCAAGAAACCCAGGGCACCCTGGAGGCAAGCAGGATGTTTCTTGGCATGGGTTCCACTGTACATGTCCGCCACCGTGCCTCTGGGCACGGAGCTGAGCGTGTCCTCAGGCCCTGTGCTTAATCCCTGAAACCTCGGCGCTCACTGCTGAGGAATCTTTCAAGGGCACGGACCCCAAGATTCCGAAATCTCTCGGGGCTTGTCGCGTCATGTCGTTCGACTTTTTCTGAGCCAAGAGGGCCCCCAGGACCGGCCAAGAGGGCCCCACCAGGCCCCCAAGACAGCCCAAGAGGGCACCGATACGCCCAAAGATCGCCCCAAGACGCATAAGATGGCCTCAAGATGGCCGAAGAGACCTCCAAGACGCCCCAAGAGGCCTCCAAGAGGGCCCCAAGAGGCAAAGTTCACTGATTTTCCTCAGGTGTTTGAAGGATTTTGCGCCTTCCCCTTTTCGGCTTTCCGACGCTCCAAGACGGCCAGAGCTTCCCAACACCCCCCAAAACGGCCCAAAAGACCTCCAAGAAGGCTCCGCCCGCGACGGCCTAAGAGCGCCGCAAGCAGCCCAAGCAGCGCCCAAGACGGCCCCAGAAGGCCCCAAGACGGCCCAAGAGCGCCTCTTGGGCCGTCTTGGGGCTCTCTTGGGCCGTTTGGGCGGCCTCTTGGGACCCTCTTGGGCCGTCTTGGGGCGAACTTGAGGGCCTCTCGGACCGTCTTCAACGCCGTGAAAGCCGAAAAGCCGTGTATGCTAAAAATGCACGTTTTCCGCTAAGACATCAATGATTTTGGCCTCCTGGGGGCCTCTTGGGACGCCCTCTTGGGGCTTCTTGAGGGCCTCTTGGGGCCTCCTGGGGGCTTCTTGGGGCGAAAGGCTAAACTTTTCGGTTCGTGGTCCCCCTCTTGGGGCCGTCTTGGGGCCCTCTTGAGCCGTCTTGGGCGCTTCTGGGGCCGTCTTGGGGCCCTCTTGGGTCGTCTTTGGGGCCTCTTGGGAGCCTCTTGGGGGGCCATCGTCAACGCCGTGAAAGCCGACAAGCCGTACATCCTAAAAATGCGCGTTTTCATAAAGAATATCAATGGTTTTGGCCTCTTGGGGCCCTCTTGAGACCCCTCTTGGGGGCCTCTTGGGGCTTCTTGGGGAGCTCTTGGGGCCTCCTGGGGTCTTCTTGGGGCGAAAAGCTAAACTTTTCAATTCGTGGGCCCCCTCTTGGGGCCGTCTTGGGGCCTTCTTGGGCCGACTTGGGCGCCTCTTGAGCCGTCTTGGGCCTCTTGGGCCGTTTTGGGGGCCTTTTGGGAGCCTCTTGGGGGCCGTCTTGGGGCTTCTCGGGGGCCTCTTGGGGCCTCCTGGGGGCTTCTTGGGGCGAAAGGCTAGACTTTTCGGTTCGTGGTTCCCCTCTTGGGGCCGTCTTGGGGCCCTCTTGAGCCGTCTTGGGCGCTTCTGGGGCCGTCTTGAGGCCCTCTTGGGTCGTCTTTGGGGCCTCTTGGGAGCCTCTTGGGCCGTCTTGGGGCGGTCTTGGGGGCATCTTGGGCCATCGTCAACGCCGTGAAAGCCGACAAGCCGTACATCCTAAAAATGCGCGTTTTCCTAAAGAATATCAATGGTTTTGGCCTCTTGGGGCCCTCTTGAGATGCCTCTTGGGGGCCTCTTGGGGCTTCTTGGGGAGCTCTTGGGGCCTCCTGGGGGCTTCTTGGGGCGAAAAGCTAGACTTTTCAATTCGTGGGCCCCCTCTTGGGGCCGTTTTGGGGCCTTCTTGGGCCGTCTTGGGCGCCTCTTGGGCCGTCTTGGAGGCATCTTGGGCCGTTTTGGGGGCCTCTTGGGAGCCTCTTGGGCCGTCTTGGGGCGAACTTGGGGGCCTCTTGGACCGCCTTCAACGCTGTGACGGCCGAAAAGCCGCATATGCTAAAAATGCACGTCGTTCACAAGAAAATCAATGATTTGGGCCTCTGGGGGGCCTCTTGGGGCGCCTCTTGGGCGCCTCTCGGGGCGTCTCGGAAGCCTCTTGGGCCGTCTTTGGGCCGTCTTGGGCATGTTGGACCGTCTTGGAGCCGTCTTGGACCCCTCTTGGACCGTCTTGAGCGCCCAAGACGGCCCAAGGAGCGCCCAAGAGGTATCCAAGACGCCCCGAGCGGCCCCGAGCGGCCATTGACACTCATCCCCCCGCCCCTCCCCCCATCCACTGGACCCCTCCCTAAAGGGCTTCGCCCAAACACAACGTCATCACTTGTACCTCGCTCTTTCCGGTATCCGCCCTGTCGGCTTGCAAAAGGGGTGTCTGGCGTGCTGAATCCTAGGGCTTGGTTTTGGTTCTCTTCCAAAAAACTGCCCCTGGGGCGTCGGTCTATTGCGCCGGCCACCCAGAAGGGACCCGAAACAACCTCAACATGCGCAACAAATCTCTCAAGACGGCTCAAGATGGCCTCTCCGACGGCCAAGGTGTCTCAGGATGGTCTCCAAGATGCCTCCAAGAAAGACCCCAGCGTGGCCCCAGGATGGACCCCAGACGGCCCAAGATGGCCTCAAGATGGCCTACGACGGCCCAAAAGGTCCGCAAGATGCCCCAAGAGGCCTTCAAGACGGTCCAAGAGGTCCTCAAAGAGGGCGTACAGAAGGCCCGAAGAGGCAAAAACCATGCTTTTGGCAGATTCTAGCATTCGCTTCGTGTCGCCCTTCCGAGGGCCCGAGACAGCCCCAAGAGCACCCAAAGATCGCCCCAAGATCGCCTAAGAGGCCTCCAAGATGGCCCCAGAACGTCCCAGGAAGATGGCCCCAAGACGGCCTAAGAGGCCTCCAAGACGCCCAAGATGGCCTCCAAGGCGGCCCTGGAGCAACCCAAGAGGGGACCCAAGTCGGCCCAGAGAGGTCCCCAAGACGGCATCAAACGGCGACAGACGGGCCAGGAACGCCCTAAGACTGGCAAAGAGGCGCCCGACAATCCCCCAAAGGCCCCCAAGAGGCCCAAGGAGGCCCCAAAGATGCCTCCAAGAGGCTCCCAGTAAGCCCCCAGGAGGCCCTAAGAGTGCCCCCACAGGCTACCAAGATACCTCCTCCTCCTCCTCCTCCTCCTCCTCCTCCTCCCTCCCTCCCTCCCTCCCTCCCTCCCTTCCTCCCTCCCACCATCCCTCCCTCCCTCCCTCCCTCCCTCACTCCCTCCCTTCCTCCGTCCCTCCCTCCCTCTCTCCCTCTCCTCCCTCCTTCCCTCCTCCCTCCTCCTCCTCCCTCCTCCTCGTCCCTCTCCTCCTCCTCTCTCTCCTCCTCAGCCCTCCTCCTCCTCCTCCTCCTCCTGCTCCTGCTCCTGCCTCTGCTCCTGCTCCTGCTCCTGCTCCTGCTCCTCCCCTCCTCCTCCTCCTTCTCCTCCTCCTCCTCCTCCTCCTCCTCCTCCTCCTCGTCCTCTTCCCCGCCATCCTCCCCCAAGATTTCCCCGAAAAGTTTCCACAACGGCTGGGGGGGGGACATGGTCCGACGGCGTGGCAGAGCTCTTTCCACAACGCTCGGCCACATGGGCGATTCCAGAAGGCAGGGGGCGTCGGTGATTCGCCGTGGGCGTCTTCGCTATTGCTCGAACTGGTTGTTGAGCTCAGTGTTCCATCCTTGGGGCCCCAGAAAGCGCTGCGGAACACTACGCTTCCTCCTGCCGAGTCGATCCGACCCTTTCCCCGAAGCCTGCAAGAAACACGGCTCAAAGAGAGATGAGCACAGAAGAACTCAACTGTCGACGCGTCCCTCCACTAGCCAGTGGACGAGTCTCCTTCACGCGGGCTTCGCCGTGCGTTCACGCGTGAACGTCAGCATGTATTGACTCGTTGCTGTGGACCCATGCCTGCATTGAATACAAGCGGCCTGTTCAGGGGAGCGTCGTGCGTTGCACGGTGTCTGTTACAGAACGAAGGGGGCAAGAGGCCCCTGGGGATGGGGGGAGAAGGAATGAGGAGGATATGGATGAAACTGTGAAGCAATACGGACTGTGGCCCAAGCTTCAACAAAGTGCCGTCGACCATACACACACACACACACATATATATATATATATATATATACACACAAATATGGGCAGTCCCCCTGCATCCATACTTCCTAACATTCACTTACAGCGGTGGTGCTCTTCCTCTCCGCCTCCTCCTCATCGTTCTCTCTCGCTCACTATATATATTTATGTATGTGGTCTCGCTCTCTCTCTCTCTCTCTCTCTTTCTCTGTCTCTCTCTCTCTCTCTCTGTATCTGTCTCTATCTCTCTCTCTCTCTCTCGATGTATATGTCTCTCTCTCCCTCCTTCTCTCTGTCTCTATTTCTCTCTCTCTCTCTCTCTCTCGTTATCGTTTTCTCTCTCTCTCTGTCTCTCTCTCTCTCTCTCGCTCTCTCTCGCTCTATCTCGTTCT